AGCTGAGATTCTGAAAGCAGACTTCCTTACCTGCTTGTTCCCTGTTGTGCTCTGTCAATAAGGAGGCTGGAGGGAGACAGGGGGACTGAAGGAGAGGGGGACAGGATCCTTGCATCCTGTTCCTCTGAGTGTCGCACAGCAATGCATTTCATCAGGGCTAGGGCCGTGGTTCGAGTGGTTGCAATTGGTCCCAGTTTGCAGTTTTCTCCATTCCCAGTAAAAGCCTCATTGAGCCTTCTTAGAAACACCAGCACCAGATTGCAGAAATCTGTGTCCTAGACACCATGGGGCCTTCTTTTGAGCCAGAAAAGAAGAAATGCATCATCTCATTGTTAAAAAATATCACACATACATTCCAGCTAGGTTAGAACAGATATGTGCTTAACCAACCCATATGAAGAAAGAAACTGCTACCTTACCCCATCATGACGATTAAGACATATTGACTTCGGCCACTTGGTGAAGAAAAAAAAAAACCTGAATAATATTTGTACAGACTTTCACGACAGTGTTGAAAATAACGTTTCACAAGTAAATACAAAAAGGCTTACGGTACCTTAAAAATAAACCTTCCTGGTACGCTGATAGCCAAAGGATTAAGTGGGAAGGTAGACTTTTGACTCAGATTCAATGAAATGAAAAGAAAACACCAGGTCACAAGTCCCAAGATAATTTAAGGAGAAGCCTTAAGAGATAGTAGCCCGATGGGAAAGCTAGTTGGAGAATTAAAAATACTCCACACTGGGGCGCCTGGACGGCTCCATCTGTTGAGCACCTGACTTTGGCTCAGATCATGATCTTGCAGTCCATGAGTTGGAGACCTGTGTCAGGCTCTGTGCTGGCAGCTTGGAGTCTGGAGCCTGCTTCAGATTCTGTTTCTCTCTCTCTCTCTTTACTCCTCCCCCGCTCATGCTCTGTCTCTTTCTGTTTCTCAAAAATGAATAAAGGTTAAAAAAAATTTTTTTAAAGACTTCGGGTCATCCAATCATTCAGAAAGCTAAGGGATAAAGGAGTAGAGGATATTTACATTCTGTTTGCCTCAAATGCCCAAAGCGAACAGACAGGACAGGCAGAGAAAGACTTTTTTCTCATTAAATGCTCTCAGGTGCTACCTCCAGTTAAGATGGTGTGAAGGAGCAAACTACTTCTTGTGATAGTCAGGGCTAGTTAGAAATCCTCCTCGGGCTGTTTACGGAGAAGTTCCCAAAAAGAAAACAAGAATGAGAACCAACACGAAAGAAATAGAAAGCAAGTCTTAAAGAGCTAACAGATCAATAATTATCTTAAATTTATTTCCTATTTTTTAAAGTTTTATTTATTTATTTTGAGAGAGACAGAGAGAGCACCAGCTGGGGAGGGGCAGAGAGAGGGAGAGAGAATCCCAAGCAGGCACTGCGTTGTCAGTGCAGAGCCCAATGTGGGGCTTTAGCTCCTGAACCATGAGATCATAACCTGAGCTGAAACCAAGAGTCAGATGCTCAACTGACTGAGCCACCCAGGTACCCCAATTACCTTAAATTTAAACTGTCAAAGTATACCCTTCAAAAGACAGAGATCGACAGAATGGATGAAGGTCACAATTACTGGGTACTGCTTATAAGAAATTCTCTTCAAAGTCAATGATCAAGTAAGTTGAAAGAAAAAAAATGGAAAAAATATACCATGCCAACATGAAGTTTAAAATTTTTTAAAAATATTTATTCATTTTTGAGAGGCAGAATGTGAGCAGGGGAGGGGCAGAGAGAGAGCGGGAGACACAGAACCGGAAGCAGGCTCCAGGCTCTGAGCTGGCTGTCAGCACAGAGCCCAATGCGGGGCCTGAAACCCACAAGCCATGAGATCATGACCTAAGCTGAAGTCGGATGCCCAACCTACTGAGCCACCCAGGAGCCTCAACATGAAGTTTTAAAAAAGCAGGAGCGGCTATATTTATATCTAATTAAAGTAGACTTCAGGAAAAAGAGAATATCTACAGATAGATACTGTATAATGATAAAAACATCAATCCACCCAGAAGATTTAATGATCCAAAATGTATACACAGCAAATGGCGGAGCCTCAAAGTACACGAAGCAAAAATACAGCTGAAAAAAAATTATTTCATAGTCTCGTAGGAAATTGACTCACAAAGCAAAGTATGTAAGATTGATTCACAGAACAAAGTATGTAGAGACACAAAAAATTAGAAAGTGTTGTGTTTTTCATTTAAGTATGGAATTTGTTGTAAGAAAAGGGATTCGTTAAATGAACTGTACTAATCTGACTCATCCCTGTAAAAAATCATGTAGGCATCTCTCTGAGTCAAGAAATTTCAAAACCTCCCTGTCCACTTTTCCTCCTTGTGGTCAGAAGGAGTAAAACAAACAGTAGGTTTGGCAGATTTCAATCCAAGCACAGTTTGAAGCCTGGATTCTGGTACTGTTTATAGAACAAAGAATAGAAGGAACTTTAGTAAAACCTTAAGTATAATAATCTCTGTAGGGTGTCAGAATATGATTTCAGGGTCTTATTACTATGCATATTTTAGAAATTACTACATTAAGCAGTTTTAGTTTAAAAAGTCAAAGTTGGGGGTCAAAGACGCGGTTCAGGGTCTGACTTTTCCATTCAGGTCATGATCTCACAGCTCGGGAGTTTGAGCCCCACATTGGGTTCCATGCTGACAGCTCAGAGCCTGGAGCCCGCTTCAGATTCTGTAACTCCAACTCTCTCTGCCCCTCCCCTGCTTGTGCTCTGTCTCTCTCTCTCTCAAAAATAAACATTAAAAAAAGTTAACCTGGGATTTTTAAAAAATTTGCAGACATAGTCATACCTCTTCATTGTTTTCATACTCGAATAACAATCCATGTGGGTATAAAATTCTAGTCATAATGTTGTTTATACATTATCCCATTGCCTCTTAGCATTTGTTACTTAGAGAAGAAATCTGAGTCCTGCTCATTTCAATTCTTTTTAAGGAATCAAGGTGTTTTTTCCCCTGTTTGTTTAGCAGTAGGAATATTTTTATTTATTTATTTTACAAGTTTTTATTTAAATTAAACTTAGTTCACATACAGTGTAATATTAGTTTCAGGTGTATAATATAGTGATTCCACACTTCCATACCACACCTGATGCTCATCACAAGTGCACGCTTTACCCCTATGACCCATTTAACTGATTCCCCTGCGCACCTCCCCTCCAGCAACACTCTGTTTGTTTTTTATAGTTAAGAGTCTGTTTTCTACATCCCTCTTTCTCCCCCCTACATTCATCTGTTTTTTCTTAAATTCCATATATGAGTGAAATCATATGGTATTTGTCTTTCTCTGGTTGACTTACTTCGCTTAGCATTATACTCTCTAGGTCCATCCACAGAGTTGCAAATGGCAAGATTTCATTCTTTTTGATTGCCAAGTAATATTCCGTTGCATATGTATGTATGTATGTATACATATATATGTATATATACATATATGTATGTATATATACACACACACATCTTCTTTATCCATTCATTAGTCGATGGACATTTGGGCTCTTTCTAATAGTTTGGCTATTGTTGATAGTGCTGCTAAACATCGGAGTGCATGTGCCCCTTCGAATTTGTATTTTTGTATCCTTTGGGTAAATACCTAGTTGATATGAGTGATGGGTGGTTCTATTTTTAACTTTTTGAGGAAGCTCCCTACTGTATTTCAGAGTTCCCAGAGTCCCAGTTTGCAAGAAACCTTTTTATTGAAATTAAAAGTTTTCAGCTGGAAACTTCTTTGGTCTCCTTTAATGAATTTTTCCTTGCCTCTGTTGGACTTTCAACCTCCAATTACAGATTTCTTTTCAGATTTAGCAAGTGTTTTTTTTTAAATTGAGATATAATTGACATATAACACATATTAGTTTCAAGTGTACAATGTAATAATTCAATATTTGTATTATTGCAAAATGATCAGCATGATAAGTCTAGTTAACATATGTCACCGTACATAGTTACAGAATTTTGTGTGTGATGAGAATTTTCAGATCTCTTCTGAATATGCAATATAGTTGCCATACTGTGCTGAAAATATTTATATATATCCTTGTTTATGACTCACTGATCCATGTTATAATTCAAGAGCATCTCTTATTTGTCGACAAATTATTGGATTTCTAGGACTCTCCCTCTAATGTATTTCTGAGCTCTTCAAAATGTCTATATTCATTTTGCATTAGATGTATTTCTGAAGTGACTTTTTCTGTTACTGATTTGGTTTTCCACATCATCAGACCTGCCTTTTATTGCTTTTGGCATGACAACTGCTGAATTTTTCCTTCTTCCATCGCTGTCCTGTCCTATATCCTTGTTTACTTTTCTTTTCTTCTCTTTTTTTAAAAAATCTAAGTCTATTCTTGTTTGATGGTGGCCATGTTCTCTCCAACTATTTCTGGGATTTCCTACACTTCTGTGAGCTCTGAGGCCATGTCTGTGACAGAAGGCTGAGGGCAAGTGCAAAGTGTGGGCCATCCAAGTGGAGAGGGGGTGAGCCTCCAGTCAGAAAAAGCCAAGGAAATGAGGGTGGGGGGGAGTAAGGACAAGATGTAGAAAAAAATGTGTGTTGGGTACAGTACTGAGCACTTCCCATAGGGACCCCATTTCATCCTCGCAATAGCCTTAAAAGTAAGGCATTATTACTCCATCCTCCCCCCACCCCCGCCTCTGTGTGCCTGGCATGCTTACCTACACTGACCTGGATGGAAATGGAGACGCAGCTTCAAGAGAGCAAGGTGGCCCTCTAGTCCCCTGATAATAGTGACACCTTACTCTTGCTTACACGAAAGTATTATTCTCACTAAAATTTTGTGAGGTTGGCTGAAAAGGTAATTGTCAATATCCCCAGAGAACAGGAAACTGAGATTCGGAGAAGCCTGAGACTCGAGCCCTGTCTCTGGGTTCCTGTGTTGTCCTTGACGTTCAGCACCAAGGCAACCAGTGACGGAAACAGAGCACCTCCCAGTAATGGCTTCATATCCTGTTGTGCAACTTTCTGGAGCCTCTAGGTCAGAGTGTTCCAGGCACCACAGTGGCTGTTGGGGTTGGTGCACATGAAGGATGAGGAAAGCCAGAGTCCAGGGGCTGCTGTGGATGCTCTTCATCGCAGGTAAGGTGAGGAAGAGACAGGACCAGGTGAGGTCTCTGCCCAGAACCTTGGGGATCCCACTGTGAGAAAAGCTTCCTTTTTCTTTGGAAGCTCCAGGGGCAGTGGACACACAGAATACAGCTGATCGGTAGACATGCCAGACTAGGTTTCTCTACCCAGACTTAACAGGATCAGGAGAATATAGAGGGCCTGAGAACAGAAATAAAAGGGGTGATTAGGGAAATGGGATATCTGTGTGTTTTGATGTTGTCAGAGATATGCAAAACTCTGGATGGGAAAATGATAGAGTACATCTAAACTTGACATGATCTGATATAATTTTGAGTTTGAAGTTTCTGTTTTTTATATTCCACATGATGCTTTTGATGTTGACCATCTATTATTTTAACTTTTATTTTGAGAGAGAGAGAGAGAGAGAAAGTGACCATGAGCAGTGGAGGGGCAGAGAGAGAGGGAGAGAGAGAGTCCCAAGCAGGCTCTGCACTGGCAGCGCAGAGCCGGACGTGGGGCTCGACCCCATGAATTGCGAGATCATGACCCAAGGTGAAACCAAGAGTTGGTCACTTAACCAGGTGCCCCTAATTCTGACCATCTATTCACCCTAAAATATATAACTAATTAAACAAATATTTCCCAGGGGCATCCTTTGGGTTGGGAAATCTGCTATTGCTGAGGCACAGCAGAACAGAAGTGAACAGAAGGGGCCTGGTGCCCATTTTCACGGGGGCTGTAACTGCAGATGGCTGCTGTCTACTGGCTGCTGTTGGAGGGTGTTGTTGCCTGAGTTTGGTGGGTCTGCCCCATCACCACACCTTCACTTCTTCTCTTCTGGTACAGCTCATGCTTTCACTAAAGTTTAAAGCATTAGGGGCTTTAGTTGCCCTCCACCCAATCCTTATAAGTAGATCAGGAAAATAACCAGAGAGGGGGAAAATGTCAACAGCAAGGAAAAGAAGGCTTTGCCATGGGAAGATTACAGGAAGAGGGTGTTTTTCAGGAACCCACTACTTGGAGCAAGGTCACAAACGCTCACCTTGCTGAGCTCGCACACACGTGGCATGCTGCATCTGCTCAGAGCTGGGGTGATAACCCAGATGGGCAGATGAGAGCCTGGCTCTCATTCCCATGTGTCTGTATTCATGTTTCTCCAAAGGAGAACTTCTCCAAGGGAGAAGATGGAGGGTTGACACTTGTATATTTGTGTGGGAGAAAACCAGAGGTGCATATGCCATTGTGCCCTGTGGGAGTGGGTTGGCGGTAACCTAAAAACTCCTTCTAACTCTAGTTTCCTAAAGAACAGAAATCTCTGGGTACCTATTCAGGTGTTGGCTGGGACTGCTTTCATCCCAACCAGACAGCTTCCTTGGGCTTCCTATTTCCGAGGTTTGGAGCTGAGTGAAGGGTCTGACCATCCAGGCTTGAATCCTGACTGTATCACTCTCTATCGTGGAACTTTGGATGAATCACTTAATAACCTCTGGGTTATGAAATAACCTTTTTGTGCCTCAATTTTCTCATCTCTGAAATAGGAATAATGGCAGGTGTCAACCTTATCCATTTTGAGGCTTCAGTGATAAAGCTAGGGAGATAGTATTATTAGACACTTATCAATAAAAGATATTTGTTATTCTTTGTTATTAATATCAGGAACTCCTTTCTTACAGTGGTATAAGACATGGCGCACACATAGCACTTCAACACTGATTCCTTACTGTCTCCTTTCACAAGGACAGGCAAATTTGTGCAGTCTTAGACTCCTGTAACACCCACTCTCTTCGTCCGTTTGGGCTGCTCTAACAAAATACCACAGACTAGGTGGCTTATAAGCAACAGTTACTTATTTCTCACAGTTTTGAAGGCTGGAAGTTCAAGATCATGCTGCCTGTCTGGTTTGGTTTTGGTGAAGGCCTTCTTCCGGGTTGTAGACTTCAGACTTCTCACTATGTCTTCACAGGGTGGAGGGGACAAGGGGGCTCTCTGGAGCCTCTTTGATAAGGGCATTAATCCCATTCATGGGATTAATTGTGACCTAATCATCTCCTAACGCCATTACTTGTGGGCTTGGATTTCAAATTATGGATTTGAGGAGGTGGAGGACATATATATTCAGACCACAGCATGCACCTTGTCCAGAGAGTTGGCAAACAATTGATCTATAACCTTTTACATTAATATTACAGAGGGTAGACAGAGGATGTGTGTATCTTCCTCAGAGCCCAGCACAGTGTCTGGCACACAGCAGGCTCTCAGCAGGCATACCCACCGGTGAATGAGTGAAAGAATGAGTGAACCAACCCCCTTGCCTGTCTCTTGGAGGGACATATCTGACCAGAGCTCATGAGACTTCCCAGGAAGCTTGTTTTTGAGGTTTCCTTAGAAACTGCATTCTGGTCCCAGAAAAATTGGCCTGGTTACATTTTCAAAATCCTCAGAAGTCTTCTTAAGTTGAGTTGAGTCTTGAGTTGAGTCTTCTTAAGGTAAGGCTGAGGGTTCACTGAACTCTTGGTCCAAGCTGGGATGAACATGCAGGTGTGCTGTGATGATAGCCCAGGGACTCCATCAAAGGGGCAGCTGTTGGCATTTTTCAATGGGCATTCTCAGAGCTATTGCCTGAGGATTAAATTGTGTGTGTGTGCGTGTGTGTGTGTGTGGTAGTATTAGTAAAAGCAGTAGTTGTAGGTAGTGGTAGCCTGACCCACAGTTTGACCCAGTGTTACTGTCCAGCCCATTACTTGGTGTTCTAAAGAAGAAAGTAACCCTGGCTTGAGTGGATAAGCTGTAGACCTTCAGTAAAGTTATAGAGCCCTGTGTGTCCAGCCAAAAACATAGATCTGGATCTTCTTACTTCCATTCAACTTGGCCCTCCCATTGGCAAAGCTTCCTTGGATCAGACCAGAATGATCTCTTTCCCCCACTTAGATGCAGTTCCTCTAGCTGTTTGGAGAAATCACTCTCTGCTAGGATCAAGCCTTCACATCCACTCATCAATCTGTATGTCCTTCTCTATAGCCTTCCCTTCTGTCATACCACCGTCATGCATGGTCTCGGCATGTGTCCCATATTCAGTTTCCAATCAGGCAACTTGTTCCTCCCAAAAGCAATCCTTTATGAAAGTTTGCACAATGCAGACAAGGTCTAGCTCTTGGAGTAAACGAAAAATTACTCGGAGTCCAGTGCTGGCTCACAGGGAAGGTTGCATGTTCTCTGTAGGCCTTGAGGATCTCATCTGAAAAATGAGCAGTGAACAAGAAAAAGAGGATTCCTCACAGAGTCTAACTCTGATTCCCTGCTTACAGAACTCCAAGCTGCAAATAAACAAAATGAAGTAACATTTATAAAAGGAGAAGGGGACACCCTGAATGTAATTTGTCCCTCCTCCACCGAGAAGTACGCCTTCACCCAGAAAGCTTGGCAGAGGCTGGTGGATGGAAGGGGGCCCCAGACGCTGGCTGTAACAGAGAGTACTTCAGGGGATACTAGTCGAGTCCACACGGACAGGTACTTCCTGGAAGACATTCCCAGTGAGGGCATACTGCGTGTCCAAATGACCAATCTTCAAGTGAAAGATTCAGGAAGGTATCGGTGTGTGATCTACTACCCTTCCAAAGAGCCAGACGTTCTGTCCCCCCTTGTCCACTTGCAGGTGATCAAAGGTGAGTGACCTGGGGGGGGCTAGGAGGATGCGGAAAGCAAGGCCAAGTAGGGGTGTGGGTGGTGGTGAAGGGCCAACGGAGTTGTGGCTCAGGATTTCTAGCAGCCTGGCCTCTCCCAGAACCGTGAGATCATGACCTGAGCTGAGGGGCAGACGCTTATCCAACTGAACCACCCAGGCGCCCCTCCTCTGAGGTTTTTGAAGGGTGTTTGGTCCAATAATAAGAAGGGGCTTCTATGTATGAGATTCTTCTTGGGGTAGTGGATCTTAATTTGGGGTAGGAAGTGGGGTACAGTGAAAGATGAGTAATAGACTTGGATAATTTAGTCTCATTCTTTAGGTCTCCACATGGAGGTCATTTCTCTGGAAAGAAATGATCTGGTATTTCCTTCCCAAGGCTGCATTTGTTGGCCTTCCTGTGTACTTCCAAAGCAGTGCTTCTCTGACTTTGCTGTAGGCACAAACCACTTGGGGATCTCATTTCAAAAGCAGTCTCTGATACATGGGTCTAGGGTGGGACCTAGATTGAGCATTTCTGATCTGCTCACTGGTGATGCTGCTGCTAAGGCTGGTCCATGGCTCCCATTTTGGGTAGCAAAGCCCCAGAGCTCGCCTTGGGTCCCCTCTCATAGATGATGCTGTCTCACTGGGTAGTAGTGGCCAGTTTACTTCTCTGCCTCCCATGCTCGTCTCTGAGCCCCTTGAGGAAAGGGCCAGTGCTTTTCTCAGCTCTGTATCCCTAGCAACTAATGTAGCACCTGGTGCATAGTAGGGCCTCAGTAGATGTTAACTGGAGAAATCAAGGAAGGAGAGGAAAGGGAGGAAGATTCTGGTTCCTAGCACCTGAGGAATTCTAAGCCTAAGGAATGCAAAATTCATAGGCTATCTATTAATTAAAGTTAATTTGAAAAGCAACGTGCTACAGGTTCTGGTGACTGCAAGGCAGAGAATGGTATAAGGTCGAGTAATCAGGGAATTATTCTTGAAGAAGGTGGAAGGCATGTGGATTGATGAATGGCAGGCAAGTGCATTTCCAGTGACAGGAGGAGCTTGACAATTCCTTTACTTGCCCCTCTCTCCCTCCTTACTCACCTCCCTCCGTCCTTTCTTCTCCCTCTTTCTTTTCTTCTCTGCCTTCCATCCTTTCCTTTTTCCCCATCTCTGACCCAGGCTGACTTCACACTAATTCTTTAATCTTAGGAAAAGAAAAACTTGCTTCATGAGTGGTTATGTTCATTTCCCTCCTCAGTTTCATTTATCCTGCTATCTATCCATCCTTCCTTCCTTCCTTCCTTCCTTCCTTCCTTCCTTCCTTCCACCCACCCACTTCCTGACAATTCATTCATCAATTTATCCATCTGTTTATCCAATGTGCCCTCTGCAGACCCTTCAAGCACCGCGGCCTCGGATGAGACTCAGAGCTGGAAACCGCAGGATTTCACCCTTTCTCCTCCCACCACGAGGACCCAGAGCAGGCACGTTACCAGACCCAGGACTGTGACCAAACTGTCGCCTAAATCGACTGCTGACCTCTCCTCTCTTAGCTTTGGAGTCAACACCACAAATGTGACAGATGTCACCAGCTATGGTTTCAGGTCTCTGGGCCCCTGGTTTGATTCCGAGTCCGTGTGCTTGAGAAGACGTGGAGAATGATGGATGGATGAGAACAGGCGCAGACTTGACCCCCCTAAGGCTGGTGAAACTTCCCTGGGGAGGAAGCGGGCAGTGCTAGCGAGGGCTGGAGGCTCTCGGAGAGGCTGCCACTCTCCCCCATTCACCCCGTTCCCTTGCACACTAGAGGAGTAAGGAGAGGGAAAGGGTATCTTTGCTGAACTCCCGTGGGTCTCAGCCAGCTCCATGGGCGTAATGGTGTAGTGGAGTGCACTCCGAGTGAGGGCCCCTGGGTCCCAATGCCAGCCAGACTGATGGGCTGTGTGACTTTGGGTGAGTCACAAACGCTCTCTGGCTTGTTTCCTTGTCTATACAGAAGAAGGCAGGCTAGAGAATGTGGAGCTGGAAGCTATAATCTAGCCCAACTGTTCTCAGAGGCCGCTATGTGTTAGGCTGCTGTGGTGTGTTTACTTTTGCTTTGATTTGTGTTTAATACTGATACACGTGCCCTCCTGTAGGCCAATAGATCAGAATTTCTGGAGATGCGGCTGGTGTCAGGATTTTTATGAGATCTTCAGGAAATGTCTTAATGTGTAGGCAAAGCTAAGAACCATTAGTTTTGTATGCATGCCCCTCTTTACAGTTTATTTTTCAATGTTGGTTTATCTTTGAATGTGTTTATCATTAAATATTGAATTAGCAGAGAAATATTCCTGCTAATCTAACACATCTGATCTCCACATTCTCTTTCTAGTCTCTATTCATGTTCATACATATTTAACACGGTATTAATTCTCATTATAAACATTGCCATTATTTTTCCATGCTAAAACTGCTCTTCAGGGGTGCCTGGGTGGCTTAGTCGGTTAAGCGTCCCACTTTCGCTTAGGTCATGATCTCGCGGTTCGTGGGTTCAAGCTCCGCATCGGGCTCTGTGCTGACTGCCAGCTCGGAGCCTGGAGCCTGTTTTAGTCTGTGACTCCCTCTCTCTCTGACCCTCCCTTGCTCGCGCTGTCTCTCTCTCTCTCTCCTAGAAATAAATAAAACATAAACAAAATTAAAAAAAAAACTGCTCTTCAATGTTGCTACCTAGACTTTGTGATTATCATCTCAACAAATGTATCCTCTTCTATTAATGGAAAAGCCAGAACCTATGTCTTCATTTGTCTGTCTCTAGACACTGAGATTGTTTTCGTTTTTTAAATATTTATGTATTTGTTATTTATTTTTGAGAGACAGAGAGAGACAGATGCAAGTGGGGGAGCAGCAGAAAGAAAGGGAGACACAGAATCCAAAGCAGGCTCTGGGCTCTGAGCTGTCAGCACAGAGCCTGACATAGCTCTTGAACTCACGAACCATGGGATCATGACCTGAGCCGAAGTCAGATGCTCAGCCGACTGAGCCACCCGGGCGCCCCATCATTTTTGATAGTATCGATAACTCTGAGATGAACATTTTTGCAGTGTCCTTTTTCTTCTTTTAAATTATTTTTTCGAAAAAAACTCCCTTCAGAGAATGTGGACGTTTATATCGCTCTGTATATATATTGCCAAATGGTCTTCCAAAGACTGGAAACGATTTGAGTTGCGACTCACAACTGTATAAGTGAAGCAGTTATCGCTGTGGGGATTCTTTGCCTCTAAGGATTTAGTATGTGGAAAATATTACTGCTAAATTAAACGTGAATTGACATCTGCTTTCATCTCTCTCTTAACGTGGACGAGGAGCTCCTGGAAGGGAGAGGCACTGCCTTCCTCCCTGCACTCTTATTGATTGTTTTGCTGGTGTCTGGTATGTAGTAGGTGCTTATCAAACCTTTGTGGACTAAATAAATGATCTAGTGAGAATCAACATTTTTCTTTTCTTCTTTTTTTTTTAAAGTTCATTTATTTTTGAGAGGGAGAGACAGAAAGAGAAAGCACTAGCAGGGGAGTGGTAAAGAGAGAGGGGGAGAGAGAGAATCCCAAGCAGGCTCCAGACTGTCAGCCCAGAGCCTGATGAGGGGCTGGAACTCACAAACTTTGAGATCATGACCCGAGCAGAGACCAAGAGTTGGACGCTTAACCGACTGAGCCACCCAATAATTTTCTTTTTAAGTTACTTTGATTTTCCAGCAGATAAATTGAGAGTACATACTTTTTGTCCCCTTTGTTACCAAAGGCTGCATCACTTCTATTAACTTTATCTATTAACTAATATGAACTATTCTATCGGTCAGAATCCGGCCAGAGAGGCAGGAGCCATTGAGCTGTTTGAGAAAAGAGATGATTTAGTACCAGGACCCGTTTGCCCAGGAAAAGGGAGAAGTGAGCTTCCAATCTGGAGCTGGATGGGGGCGGGGGTGCACCTCAGAAGAAGCTGCTGTCGATCTGTCTTAGGGTGGGCTCCCCAGAAGCAGGCAATAGGAAAAGTCTTGTACGAATATTGTAGGAAGAAATGAAAGGGTAAAAAGAAGGAAGCCTACCAAGGGTGTCATTACCAAGCCCCGTCCCACAGTGGGGGACTCTGGGGCTCGGTCTTGCAGGGGGTTTCTGGTGCAACTCATGGGCCGTGTGTATATCAGGGGCTGGGGAAGCTGAAGTAATTACACTCCTGAATTCCCAGTCTTCCCTCAGGGATGACCCAGGGACACCTGAATCCCCAGGCACTGGGGTGGGGGCAGTGGTCTGACAGCCTGTGTGCACCCTCAGAAAGAGGTGCGGGGCAGGCTGGCCTTCAAGTGGACGCACTCGGGCGCTCCACGCGCGGAAGTGTGAGCGCTGGGAGGGTAGCAGAGACTTGGAGGCAGAGTTGGCCCAGCCGAGCAGTGGGCTGCACCTGCTCCGCGGAGGGCGCTATTGCAGCCACGCACCACGGAGCCACAGAGGAGCCACTACGGGCTGAACCCCACCGGCCACTGGGACGTGTAGTTTCAGGTGATGGAGGAAGGCCCCCAGCCCCAGGCAGCTTAAAGGGGCCTCTGCTGCTTTCTACTGCCATTCCTTCATTTCTCCCTTTGCGAACGAGTTCAGGAAATTCGATTTTAAGTTTTGCGTGGGCAAATGTGTTGATTTTTAAATGATTGCTTTGTTTTATGCCTTAATGTGCTCAATGCTACTTCCTGGTGACTTCGCTAGTTTGTTTGTTTGTTTTCCGTTTTATTTAAATCTTTAGTCTCTCTTGTGGAGGGAGGGGGATGTATTTTGTTATATGTTACAAATTGTACAAAATATAACTTTTTCTTCATATTGTGACCCAGATGCCCTAAGGTTATTTACTAAATAGTCCTTGCCTTCTCTTGGGCTGCTACTTTCCTTAGATGTTAAATTTGTGCATCACATTAGGTCCATAGCTGGGTTTCTATTTGTTTTATTGCCACCCGTTTCTCTTTTGACCCTGTGTCTTATCATGCAGATTAGTTGTGCTGTAATCCATTTTCATATCGCTGAGTCTAGACAGGTCAAGTTTCCTCACTCATGGGCATCTCTTTCTTATGGTATCCACTAATGCTTTCCCAGGACTTTTATCTATGTATTTATTTTAATGTTAATTTTTAATTTTTTTTGAGAGAGAGAGAGCATGCGGGAGAGTGCAAGCGAGGGAGGGGCAGAGAGAGAGGGAGACACAGAATCTGAAGCAGGCTCCAGGCTCTGAGCTGTCAGCACAGAGCTTGATGGGGGCTCGAACCCACAGACAGCGAGATCATGACCTGAGCTGAAGTCAGTCACTTAATAGACTGAACCACCCAGGGGCCCCTCTCAGGACTTTTAGAATCATTATACTAAAATCAGTAGAAAGTCATGGTGGGATTTTGGCAAGGACTGGCTTCTGTTTATGGATGGGAAAACAGAGGCAAAGAAGTGAGGCCTTCCAAGGAATTAGGATCTGCTGTTGAGACTAGAAACCAGGCTTCCTTTCTGGAATTTGACCCTCTGCTGCATCTCAGCAAGAGGAGCCTGAACAGGCAGCTGTCCCCACCCGTACCCCCACTTTCTGCACATGGGCACTATGGTCTTTACTAAATATATATCTAGTCAGCAGTTTTAGGAAATGGGACACACTCAAGGCATCAGGCCGGTCAGTATGGGGACAGGTTCTGGGAGGACCAAGGGGTGTGAAGAACTTTTGTAAACGCTCAAGTGTGAGGCACGTCAATGCCAGCAGCCACATTCTATTTCTCGTCTCTTCTTTCCTCCAGGGTCTCTGTGATGACCATCATCATTATTGTGCTGTGTGGATTCCTGAGCAAAAGCCTGGTCTTCACGGTCCTGATTGCTGTCACGCAGAAGTCATTTGGATCTTAGGCTGGTGAACCCACAAGAGTGACCTCTGACCTCCATCCACATCCAGCTGGCAGTTGTTCGGGAGGAGGGGTGTGAGGGGAGAGGGAAGGAGGGGTGATGGCCGAAGTTGAATGTGTGACACAGGTTACTTCTAAGGCTCAGGTCTCACCTTTCCAGCCCTGTTAATTCACTAATAACCTTGAGGATGTGAGTTTGCCCCCTCAGAAGAGAAGATATGGCTGCAAACATGCCCATTCCTACCGGATTTGCCTTAAATTGGCTTAAATTCTACCGGATTTGCCTTAAATAAAGACGGAGTCCAATTTGTTGCTGTCTTGTGGCGGTTGTGCGGTGTGTGCAGAGGGCCCCGCTGCTAATTCTGCCCTTGTTCTTGCCCTGGCCCATAACGTTTAAGCCTGACCTGGACAGAGCTTCCACTACGGAAGCGTTCTGTTCTCCCTGCCCTTGGGTCTTCCTCTCCTCTAGAATCAGGTGCTTGAGTTTCTCTTTTCATCTGTGGCCCTTTCCCATACTCCCAGAGAAGGGGATTGAAAACCATGGAATGAGGAGAAGACAAGACACAATGGTAAGAATTCCATATTTGGGACAGAGGAACCAAGTCAACCAGAAGGTTGTATCCTGGGAAACACTGGGTGAGATAGGATCCAAAGCACAGGATTGACCGAGAATCTCATTTGTCGATTGTGTGCATTATCAGGGGTACATTTTATCTCTGGATCCTTAGAACATACCCATGAAGGCCAAAATGTAGGTGAGTAGAAGCATACTTCAATGTAATAAGGCCTTATATAAAAACCCCAGAGCTAACAATATACTAGTGGGGGAAAACTGAGAGCTTTCCCCAAAGGTCAGGAACAAGACAATGATGTCCACTCTCACTGTTTTTATTCAGCATAGTACTAGAGGTCCTAGCCACAGCAATCAGAAGACAAAAAGAAATAAAAGGCATCCAAGATGGTAAGAAAGAAGTAAAACTTTCATTATGTGTAAAGGACATGATACTCTATGTAAAAAGACCCTAAAGAGCCCAACAACAAACTGTTAGAACTGATAAATGACTCTAGTAAGGTCCCAGGATACAAAATCAATGTACAGAAATCTGTTGCCTTCCTATACACTAATAATGAAGCAGTAGAAAGAGAAATTAAGAAAAATAATCCCATTTACAATTGTACCAAAAATAGCGATACTTAGGAATAAGCTTAACCGGGGTGAAAAACCTATACTAGAGTATATACCTATAAAACACTGATGAAAAAAATTAAAGACGGCACAAAGAAATGGAAAGATATTCCATGTTTATGGATTGGGAGAACAAATATGATTAGAATGTCCATATTACTCAAGGCAAGCTACAGATTTAATGTAACCCCTATCAACATGCCAACAGCATTTTTCACAGAGCTAGAACAAACAATCCTAAAATTTGTATGGAACCACAAAAGACCCTGAATAGCCAAGGCAATCTTGAAAAAAACAAACAAACAAAAAAAACTGGACACATCACAATTACTGACTTCTGTATTACAAAGCTGTAGTAATCAGAACAGTATGGCAGTGGCACAAAAATAGACACACAGGTCAATGGAGCAAAATAGAAAGTCCATAAATAAGCCCACAATTATATGGTCAGTTAATCTTTGACAAAAAAGGCAAGAATATGCAATGGGAAAAAGACAGTCTCTTCAACAAATGGTGCTGAGGAAACTGATAGCTCCATGAAAAAGAATGAAACTGGACCACCCTTATGCCATACACAAAAATAAATTCAAAATTGATTAATGACTTACATGTGAGGTCTGAAACCATAAAAATCCAAGAAGGAAACACAGGCAATAATGTCTCTGACATCAGCCATAACAACATCTTTCTAGATATATCTTCCGAGGCAGGGGAAATAAAAGCAAAAATAAACTATTGAGACTATATCAAAATAAAAAAGTTCTGCACAGCAAAGGAAACAACCAACAAAACTAAAAGGCCATCTACTGAATGTCATTATTTGCAACTGACATATCCGATAAAGGGTTAGTATCCAAAATATATAAAGAACTTATATGACTCAACACCAAAAACCCCACAAGTAATCCAATTAAAAAATGGGCAGAAGATGTGAACAGACATTTCTCCAAGGAAGACATCCAGATGGCCAACAGACACATGAAAAGATGTTCAACATCTCTCATCATCAGGGAAATACAAATCAAAATCAGAATGAGATATTACCCCACACCTTGTCAGAATAGCTAAAATCAACAGGATGCAGAAAAAAGGGGAACCCTCTTGCACTGTTAGTGGGAATGCAAACTGGTGTAGCCACTGTGGAAAACAATATGGAGGGTCCTCAAAAAATTAAAAATAGAACTACCCTATGATCCAGGAGTCACACTACTGGATATTTACCCAAAGAATACAAAAACACTAATTTGAAGAGATACATACACCTCTAAGTTTAATGCAGCATTATTTACAATAGTCAATCTATGGAAGAAGCCCAAGTGTCCATCCATAGATGAACGGATAAAGAAGATGTGGTATATATACACAATAGAATATTACTCAGCCATAAAAAAGAATGAAATCTTGCCATTTGCATCAACAAGGATGGAACTAGAGAGTATTATGCTAAGTGAAATAAGCCAACCAGAGAAAGACAAATACCATATGATTTCACTCATATGTGGAATTTAAAAAAACAAAACAGATGAGCCAAAAAAAAAAAAAAAGAAAGAAAAAAAAAAGAAAAGAAAGAGAGAAAGAAAGAAAAGAAAAAGAAAGTGAGAGCCAAACCAAGGAACAGATTCCTAACTATAGAGAATAAACTGATGTTTACCAGAAGGGAGGTGGGTGAGGGGATGGGAGAAGTAGATGATGGGGATTAAGTACACTTATCTTGATGGACTCTGAGTAATTTATGGAATTGTTGAATCATTGTACATCTGGAACTAAATAGCACTGTATGTTACCTACACTGGAATTAAAATAAGATAAAATAAAATAAAGTGTTAAGTGAAAAAAATAGAAGTATGTGACTAGAATGAGGCCACGTGAGCAGTGAGTCACTACTTACTAGCAGGGACATAGGCTAGAGTTTCTTTGCTGAAGACTAAAGGCCTCAGAGCCATATAGCATGGACCATGAGGGAATTCTGCCTATGTCTAAATGTCTCTTGTCCTTGTGTCACACGAGGGGCAGGGATGGTGGCCCAAAAATGGGCCTTCCCCTCAGAACAGAAAAAATAGAAAATCAGAAAATACTGATTTAAATCTGTTGGAGTTTGCAAGACACAGGGTGTTGGGAGGGGGGTGATGAACACTTATTTCATGGGTGAGCATGGGAGCCACAGGGGAGTTATAGAGCAGACGGAGAAGGCAGAGTGAGAACAAGAGTGCACATAGGGACAGTCTGCAGGAGCCTAACTGGTGAAACCAAGAGGCAACGGACAGCAGAGGCCACAGCTGAGGTCATAGCATGAGACAGTCAAAGCGTCTGATCACCAATTAGAATTCTGCACCTAAATCCCGTGTGTGTGTGTGTGTGTGTGTGTGTGTGTGTGTGTGCGCACGTGTGTGTGAATGTTTTGGGAGGGGGTGGTTTCCCTACATCAACAGGCGATTCTGGGACACCAGCTGGGTGTCCTGCAATTCAACTCAGTTCTGATACCATCAACCCAGAGATAGCATCAGATTCCACAGATTGAGGGCTCAGTACGACAAGGCTCTCCCTTTCCATCTTTAGATGCCATTGACAAGTGCAGGCTATCACTTGTGCTTCTGACCCACCTGCTATAGGAGGGTCCTGTGATCCCCTCCTTGGATTCCATCAATTTGTTAGAGCAACTCACAGAACTCAGAAACATTTTACTTGCTAGATTACTGGTGTCTTATAAAAGACTATTAAAGAATATGACTCAACAGCCAGAGAAATAAATAAGGCAAGGTCCTAAACAAAGGGGTTTCTGTCCCCGTGGAATTTGGAGCCCAGCACAGTGGCACATGGAAACGTTCTGATTTCCCAGCCTAGCAGCACTCCAAGCCTCCTCCTTTTATGGTGTGTGTGTGTGTGTGTGTGTGTGTGTGTGTGTGTGTGTGTGTAGGCTCCATTACATAGGCATGATTGATGAGCTCATTGGTCACTGGTGACTGACTCAACCTCCAGCCCCTCTTCCTTCCCCAGAAATCAGTGGGTGGAACTGAAACTCCCAACCTTTTTTTCAAGGTTGGTTCTCCTGGAAATATCCCCCGTACTTCTGGGATTTCCAAAAGTCACTGCACTGACATAAACTCAGAGGTGGTTGCAAAAGGCTTGTTAGGAATAACAAGACATCCATGTCACTTTTATGGCTCTGAAGTGTTTTCAGGAACTGAGGACAAGAGACCAAATATGACAAAAGATTTCCCATTGCTCTTATGGTTCATGAAATTTCAAGGACTTTGGGAGCTATGATCCAGAAACTATGGATGAAGTCCAAATATATGTGAGAAATATATTTCTATTATCTGAATGACAAAACAGATATTTCTTATAATTCACCATATCACACAATCTAGTGATGCTGCCATTGGTGCCCCTGCCCTTGAACTCTTGAAGCCACCCCATCATTGGCACCATGTTATTCCTGGACCCTCAGTGCTTAAACGTCTTCTGTGTCAGCCCTCTCCAAATGGCTCTGCATCTTGTATCACACCTTTAAGATCCAGAATCCTGGGAAGAATCTTGCATTTGGCCAAACTTAGGTCAAGTCACATGCGTGGCACGTAGATGCCAGGGAAAATGGGCAGGAGAACTATCTGCCTCCATACACTGTAGTAGAAGAAGTAGAGCTCTGGACCCTAGTGAGACTCGTGCACTGGAGTATGTCCCCCAGGCGGAGAAGGTATTGGGTGCTGGAGAACCAAAAGATGACAAATATCTGATCTGTTGTAGTTACTCCTTGTACTTTTCATGTTTGTGGGCTTCATGCCTCTGCCTAGGCTGGGACCTCAGGGATGCACACACCTTGCACACAGGATGGCTACCTGACAAATGCCTCAGGGCCCATCTGACCTCAGACAGAGCTTGTACAGACATTGTCTATTTGGACCACTTGCCTTAGAAACCCCTGGGCTGTTGGTTAAAATGTAGATTCCAGAGCTTTCCCAGACTTACCAAATCAGAATCTCTGGGAGGTGGTGCTCAGGCATGTGTATGTTTGCCAGCTTCCTGAGTGATTTAGCCACGTGCCCATACTTGAGAATCATGGTGTGGAGTAAGATTAAAGAAGGCTGGTCATCAGCAAGGTTTGAACTCCATCTTGGAGAACAAACCAAATTTGGATGCATGGTGTCATTCCAGACAGAGGGAATGGCAGAGGTTTGAGGATGTAGTGGTCAGTGGCCAGGGGTGGAATGTTCTGGCGACCTGAGGAAGTGGAGTGGAGTGGATGGGTGGGTCCAGACTTGTTATGGTGGAGAACAGGGAGCTATTGAGTGTTGACCAATGGGCAGTGATGTAATAGCTGCAGGAAGGAAGATGTCACAAGGGCAGTGTTTGCTCTTTTCTCTTCTTCTGCATTTTCCTGAGCTGCTCCCTCTTCACACTTCCCTTCTCAATTGCAAAGTAATAGTCAAGCTTCTCAGGGAACATGGAAGACACCCCTGTGGGGCAACATCCTCCAGCAATGGGAAGAGCCCTGGGACAGGCAGCACTCAGTGGATGCTGGGAGGGGGATAGGATGAAGGGGAGAGGACTCTGGGGTGGTCATGGCTACTGTTGCTGCTGCTGCTCTGAGCTTCAGGTAAGGAGATGCAGGGGGAGGGATGGAGACAGCTGAAGGGGTACCTGCTAAGAGGGATTTCTCTCACTTCTTTAGGAGGGACTGAATGGGATTGGGGTGTCGGCTAGAAACAGGAAAGAGAAGAAAAGGTAAAGGATGCAGTCTGTGCTGGTTAACCCTGTCCCAGCAGGAACTGGGTGATGAAAGAGAATCTGGAGCTTCCTCTAGCGCACCGTGAAGTTAAGAAAATTACACGAAGTGAACTGAACAATCTCTTATCACTGTGCTGATTTCCTGGGAGGTGGAAAGTATAAGATATAGTCTCTCCTTAAAGGGGCCAGGCACTGAGGTAGAGGAGGCATTAGTAGAAGGGAAAGGTAAATAACAAAAGGGCAAAGTCATAGCATGAAGACAAAAATACTGTGGAAGTCCCTTTAGCAAAGTATAGGGAGGTAGTGTGGAAAAGAGGGTTCTGGAATCAGACAGAGCTGGGGTCAAATCCTATCTCTGCCACTTTCTACATTTGTGACCTTAGGAAGTTCTCCAACCTCGCTGACCCTCAGGGTCCTCATTTGTAAATAGTACCTACTCAATATTTATTTTTAAATGGTACCTATGGGTTGCCCTAAGGGGGTTGCCCTAAGAGTTAATAGCAGACTGATGTAAAATTCTAATGCACAGTTAGTGCTTAATAAAAGTTATGGTGGATGATGATGGTGGTGGTTGTGGTGGAAACAGATGAGGGTGATCAAGGGTATTGAGTGTTGAAAGGGCAAAGAGATGAGTGCAAGTGGAACTGTTCAGGTAGACTTCCCTCTGGGACTAGAAGGGGTGGATGTGGGTGGAGAGGAGTGGGGGAGAGCAGTCAACCTGGGGACAGCAGAGGCTAGGGTGAAGTACCAGGTGCTGGAAAGCAAGGGCCATGTCTGGGGAAACACAGGTAGAATAGAATATGGGTTGTAAACCTGGCCAAGTTCTCTTTCACTTTTTTTTTTTTTTTTACCATTTTATTATTAAAAATTTCCAGCCTACAAAATATGGAAAGGACAGCCACCATAAACTTATTACCTAGATCAAAACATCCAACCATAATTGATATTTTGCATCACTTGCTCCATATGTGTGTACATTGCTGAGATTTTATAAATATATTAATTATATTAATTAATTATAAATATATTAATTTATCACATATATTTATAAATATTTATATTATATCATGATATATCACTATATAATTATATATCATATATGTGTTCATAAAATTGCTGAACCATTTCAAAATAACTTACAGAAATCCTAAATTACTCATAAATGCTTGATGGAGCTACTTACTAATATTTTTGATTTGCGACCTTGTATCTGTGGTGGGGTCTGTGGATGTAAGGATGGTGGAAGGAGCATTTGCTCAGTGAAACACTTTGACTTCTCATTCTAGGATTCCAAGCTGTAGATGAAGAGGAGAAACAAAAGTGGCTGCTAGATGGAAAGACCTTGACCACAGTCTGCTTTTACAGCGTCATGCTCTACTCCTCCAGCCTGAAGGCCTGGCAGCAGGTGAGGAACCAGCGCCCCCCAGAGACAGTGATGGGCTCCATCACTTAGAAACAAAGACCTAGGGGTGCCTGGGTGGCTCTGTCGGTTAAGGTTAAGTGTCAGACTTGGCTCAGGTCATGATCTTGTGATTCGTGAGTTCGAGCCCCACAATGGGCTCTGTGCTGACAGCTCAGAGAGTGGAGCTTGCTTTGGATTCTGTGTCTCCCTTTCTCTCTGCCCCTCCCCCATTCATATGTACTCTGTGTGTGTCCCTCTGTCTCAAAAAAAAAAAAAAAGTTAAACAACAACAACAACAAAGAAACAAAGACCCAAACTGGCCCAGTCCAGGGATACCTGTTGAAGGTTGTCCCATGGAACCCATATTCAAGGTCACAGCAGCAGAGTTCTGGTGGCAAGACTTGGGGCTGTACCAGTACATGATTGACCTCAGAACCCCCATGTCCTGTCCAAATGAATTTGGCTGATACAGTGCAAAGGTGAGAAGCAGCAAGACCCTGGACAGGGAAGGAAGGTTTTTTTTTTGGAGACTGACCTCAGCCACAGGCTGGGAGGGTTGCTTTGGACAAGTGGCACAGAGTAACCGGAAAAGCTCCAGACCGGAAATCAGTGCACCTAGGTCTTCCATGCTCACTCTTTGCGAGTTTGCAAAAGTCCTACCTAGCTCCTCTCTCGGCCTCAGCTTTCTCACCTGTCAGGAAAATTGGGCTAGGTGATCTCAAAAATTCTCTTACTCTACATCAGAGAACCTGCTAGAGGAACCAGACACCTGAGCATCGACTTTGTGCCAAGCACTTGGTTCATTCATCTCTCTTCTGTGAAATAGGCACTGCTGTTCCCATGGTACAAGGAAGGGAGGCTCCAAGAAGTTAGGTTACTTGCTGTGTCTTTCAGCGGGTACTTGGTGCAGCTGGGATTTTACACAGACCCACCTTGATTGCGTGGTTCTTGGTGAATCCTCAAAATTGGTCCAATTTGCCAGTAGAAAGCTGCCCCCTCTCTCAAGGGATTTGAAAGGTAGCAGATGTGAGGGATACATTCTAGAGAGCAAAATGAAAGGCCTTTCACTGACCTTGAGTTGCTTTTCATTGGTGGAGGCATGACCGGTTTATTGGAAAGCCTGTCAACCCACGTGGGGAGACAGAGCTGGAAAGAGCCAACACTTCTTCCTCAAGCTTCTTAAGAAACCTTCTCCTTTGGAGCCATTGAGTTGGAGGGGCCTCCACCCCATGGGACACTGCTGGTCCACGTCCTACTAACCCCAATATGTGAGTATCAGGAGAGGGTTGGGCTTAAATTGGACTTTGAAATATCTGGAAATAAAGAGCTGACCATGCAAACTGATGGGTCTGTAGACAGGACAGAGGGAAGCTATTGAGCCCTAGTCAGAATATGGTCATTCCCCAGCACTTTAGAAACACCCAGTGACACCCAGTAATTAACCAGCTGGTTATAAAGGATTTATGTGGTCAGTTAAGGGGTTCCATTGCCCTCTAGTCAGGGGCATCTTTTTTTATTATTAAATTTTTAAAGTTTATTTTTATTTATTTTTTAGAGAGATAGAGAGCAAGCAGGGGAGGGGCAGAGAGAGAGGGAGACAGAATCCCAAGCAGGCTCCACACTGTCAGCGCAGAGCCTGACTTGAGGCTCGAACTCACGAACTATGAGATCATGACCTGAGCTGAAGTCAAGAGTCAGACACTTAACCAACTGAGCCACCCAGGTGCCCCAGGGACATTTTATTAATTTGATCTTACTGTCTGGATTCTGTGGAAGCACTAACTAACACCTTGCTCTTTACCCAGGGAGGTGGGGGCTGTCTCAGGATGAGGGGAAGTGTGCAGTCCCAATTCCCATTCTTCTGTGCCCTGAACATCCTCAGTGACCTTGAGCAAGTCCCTCACCCCCTTCTGGCTTTCCCCACTGTGACATTCAATGGCTCTAATTCTCTGAGTTCTTCTGTATTTATTGGGTTCAGAGGAACAAAGACTTTATGTTTTACACTTGGCAGAATTTGCCCACCCCAGTAACCAGCAGATGGCATGGGCCCACCAGGTCTGAATCCATCCTGCCTCCTGGTTCCTTTACTGAAATCTTAATAAAGACAACAACAACAACAAAAATAACCAAGAATGACTGAGCCAAGACTCTTGCATGAGAAGTGTATCAAGTTTAATACAGGATAAATGTAAACATAATTATTTTCATCAAGCCTCAAAAGATGCTGTGGCAGACTGATAGTAGCTTCACCCAGTAATTGGAGACACCTTTAGACTAATGTGGCTACAGAAACAGAGTCTAGTACGGATTGCTCCTACCTGAAGGAATTATTAGTTTCACAGGGGAAACAAAATGTAGTCCTCTTTTTCAGAGGACTGGGTTTGTACCGAGAGGTGGTAAGGGACTGATTTTTAGTTAAACCAAATAGACAGAGAAGGTTTCTTTCTGGGGTGGGTTGAGCATGCCCAGAGATAAATGGACTTTCCCTCAGTGGAATGCGGGGAGTCCTTTCTTCTTCTTGACTTTTTCTTCTTCAGTTTTCCAAGTGAGGGAGGGCATGGCAGTTGCCAACCATAGAAAGAAATTTGATGTATTGAGGGGGGATTATTTGGAGGCAGTAATGTTGTCCACCCAACCCCACGCAGGAAGGAGGCCTGAAATGGGAGTTTAAGAGGAGAGAAGGTGGGCTGTGGAAGGCAGGAGGGAGGCCGCCCGCCTCATGGGCATGCTCCATGTTGGGTCAGAAGCAAGAGCAGAATGACTCTTGTGGCAGATGAGCAGGTCACGTGATGGTGATGGGCTGGGAGGGTGTGGGTGCTGAGAGCTGAAAGACCCGAAAGGCTGAGACCAGCTAGATGTCACCGGCATACATAGGAATGGAGTCAGGAAATGTGGGTCCCAGTGCTGGTTCTGTGTGCTGAGTGACCTTGGGCACTCCCTGCCATCCTGTTCTTTGGGGGTTGGGCTGAATGCAACAGAATACATCTTTGCAGATGAACCTTTGACCTGCTAGGACCTTGTGAGTGTTTCCCTCCCAAACAGTCTAGTCCCATGGCAATGCACTTGGGAGAGGGCCGCTCAGCATGTAGGAGAAGAAGGTCCTTCTCTGGCTCGGATTGAGTTGGCTGGGTTGTGCAGATAGGCTGGCGAGCTCAGGATATGTTGACCCATTCTCATCAAGCATTATCTGGGCACCCAGTAGGAATTCAGTGTCAGTCAAGGCTCAGAAGGCTTTTTATCTCTTCTAGTAAATGGCACTGGCCAAGAGAACCAACAAAGGCAATCTGGATCCAGGGTAAGTTGTGTCTGAATGAGGGTTGCTATGTGGAAACCAAAGCAAAGCAGTGTAAGGGCTTAGCTCGGGCCCTCAGCTAAGGCCCCATATGTGGACTCTGTAGAGCCAGGCTGGACCACATGGAAGACCTTCTCCTGCTCCAGGAGGGCCGAAGGAGTCCTGAACCCTAGCAGGCAGAATGACCTTTGCTTCTATTTCTATCCTGAAGCCCCAATGCAAGCCTTGAATGCTCTCACTTCAAGGCAGCAATGTCCCATCCACCATCCCCAGAGGAGAGGAACCAGGGGTTGGGGGGCTAAGAACATACAGGTATATTATGTCCCTGCTAACAATGCACCACCTGGAAAATGTGGTCCAGATGCAATGGAATCTGAGTGATCAAGAGCCTCTTCCTTGGAGTCAAAGGAATTATATCAACAGAAGTCCGTCCTTATCTTACTTGTTGGGGAGTGTGGGTCAGAGGTGGGTATCAGAGAACACTACCTGGAGGAGGAGAAACGTTGAAGGCACAAAGGGGGTGGTATTCTATGTCAGGGGCAAGTGGTGGGAACACATGCACAGAGTGTGCTGCCTACAGAGGTAGGCAGTTGGGCTGAGTGGTGAGGAGAGGGTAAAGTTAATGCAGGACCATGAATTCAAATGGCAGAGACCTTCGAAAGCCACGCAGTCATGCGAACTCTGTTCCAAAAGCAATGGGGAGCACAAAGGGCTTTCCCTAGATCCCCTGAGGGGTGAGTGAGGGTCTCGGTGCAGAGTGACGCAGCAGCTGTCGGGGGGGGGGGGGTCTGGAGAAGGAAGGTGTTAGGGGCAGGAGACCAGGTAGATTCCTTTGGGGTGAGAGCCAGGGTTAAGACCCTGGTAAAAGAAGAGGCCTTGTCTTCAAAGAATTGAGAACCCCTGTGTGGCTGCTCCCATGGCCAGGAGCAGGCAGATCCCCACCCTTTTGGACTCTAGGGGGGGTCAAACTTAGGATTCTAGTGCTCGCCCTTTCCAAGGACCTGCCAGTGCTGGCAATTGTTCCGACATGTGGATTCATCCTGTTCTCAGATCTGTTTGCTTCTGTCCAGAAAGCCTGGGGCTCAGGTGAGTGAGGGCCAGGGACAGGCTTGGATGGAAATGAATGAGATGAATGAGTAGACACAGGCATCAGCTGCAGACGCGGGTTTAGAGATTCCCAGGGCTTCCCCAGAATGCGTCTCCTGACTTTCCTTGCTTCTGTCCTTAGAAATCTTTGGAGAGGAGGCAGGGCCCACCCCTAGGGGTGACGTGAATGGGGTGGGGTTGGCTCCCAGGATGGGACAGGGTGAGTATTTTTGCTACTGGCAATTCAGTCTTTCCTTCAGAGGGAGGAAGACTCAGACCAGGGCTGACATGGACGCACCATTTTCAAATACTGTTCATTTCTGTCCCTTCTCAGGAAAGGCAGCCTCCTAAACTGTCTCAAGGACACAGCTTCCCAGGGAAGCAGACTTAACCTTCCAGGAGCTGGCGGGCATGCTTTCCTCCCCTAACAAATACCACACTCCACTCTGTTCAGTGGTAAATAAGAGGCTTTCTGAACTTCTTTTGTGAGATCTCTGCCCAGCCCCTCTCTTACCCAGAGGGAGAAAAGCGGTACCAGGTGGGAGAGCATGGAGGGCTGGGTGCAAAGAAACCCAGGAGGAGTCATCAAGATCAAGGTCGTGGCAATTAATTTCTGTATTAAGTACAACAACTGGGACTCACAAAGTATAATTCAGATGACACTTATATTTGTTCTCTTACTGCCATCCAGCCTTGCTCTGCTAGGGACCTCACTGGCCCCCTGGTAAAACCTATGGTGAGACCATCACTCTCCTGGGCATAAAAAAAAAATAAACTTTATTTTTGAGAGCAGTTTTAGGTTCCCAGCAAAACTGAGTAGACAGTACAGTGTTCTGCTATAACTTCTGTCTTCCCACCCCCACACGCACAGTCTCCTCCGCCATGGACATCCTGTCCCTGAGTGGTACATTTGTTAGAATCAATGAGTCTGCACTGACACATCAGTGTCACCCAAAGCCCATAGTTCACCTTAGGGCTCACGCTTGGTGTTGTCCATGCTGTGGGTTCGGAAAAATGTGCATTGACATATACCCACAGCTGGAATATCATACTCCCTTAAAGCCCCTCTGTGTTCTGCCTATTCATCAATACCCTTTTGGGCATTTCTAAGCAATACAAACTTTACTCCCAAACTAGCTTATGTTCAGTGTTGGGGTGGGGGGGTGTGTGGAAGGGTTCCATTTAAAACAAAATCTTCTCCAGTTCCTCTCCCTGTCAGAGGGAGAAAAGGGTACAAGTAGGCTTTTCTTTCTTCCCTCCGCCACCATCTCCACATCCTGCTGCAGCTTCTAATGCCTCCCTTTCCCAGGGCTGGAGCAGTGGGAGGGAAGAGGAAGGGAGCAGGGAAGGTCTTACTTGTTGCTGCTGCCCTGAGGGTCAGTGGGCTTAAAGCTGACTTTGCCTCTTAGGGAACCACTTGGACTTATCCGAGTAGCCCCATCTTGCACCTGCATTTTCTTTGACACATGCAATTGCGTTTCACTTTTGACTGGTTGCATCCCTCAGCCTCCAAGCATTAGGCAGTGAGGGGAACAGAATATACCACCTGAAAATATATCTCTCTGGCACAAGAGTTATTTTGAGAAACAGCAGACACAGAAGAAGCTCTGAAGGCAGAGTGGAAGTTAACCTTTTGTGAGAGAAGTTAAAGAAATCCCCGTTGGTAAGGTTATCTCCCTTTCTGTGCCAGGACAAAAGGATGACTAAATCATAGGAGAATCTTATCAGTGGAGAAGGAACCGGTTGAAATCTTCAAAACAAACCTTAACTCTTGTTACTATGCTTTTCTTTGAATGAAAACAGTTTGAATGATAACAGTTTCCCCATACCCATCTTTTCTCTATAGCTGAAGACAGAAGTTAAGCTGGAGTTCTTTTTTTTAAACTTTTTATGTTTTTATTTTATTTTTGTGAGAAAGAGTGTGAGCGGAGGGAGGGGCAGAGAGAGAGGGAGACACAGAATCGGAAGCGGGCTCCAGGCTCTGAGCTGCTGGTACAGAGCCTGATGCAGAGCTAGAACTCACTGACTGTGAGATCATGACCTGAGCCTAAGCCAGACGCTTAACCGACTGAGCCACCCAAGCATCGCTAAGCTGGAGTTATGAGTTACCTTGGGGAGTTACTTAGTTTTTCTCCTGGGTATCTCCCCTGTATACATGAGGTCTAGATGTGAATAAACTTCTGCTTGTTTTCCTCTTGTTAATCTGTCCTTTATTACAGAGGTCTCAACCAAGAACCCAGAAGGGTAGAGGGAAAATTATTTTCCTCACCTACATCTGTCAACCTCTAGCTTCCTTCCATGGAGCCTGTTTACCTCCAGGCAGCCTTTTTGGACAGGATCCATGACAACCCACACTGGGGGTCTCGTACATGTGCAACTCACATCTGGTCACGGAGCCCTGGTGGACTGCCACAGAACCACCTGTTCTTCACCCTGCCATTGGGACATCTAGCCACTGAAGTCTCTGTCCATTACAATTCTTAAACCGGAGTCAGGCACCAGTCCGCTATGTCTCCCAAAGTGCAGAAGACATTTAGGCTCTCCGAGTTGTGACCTTGAAGCCCTCTCCTTAGGCTTGAGGTAAGGGGCAGACATCCACTCCCCTCTACCCCCAGGGTCATAAGACACCCAAACTGTCTCTAAAAATCCTCTCCTAATCCTCATAATCCTCACAAATGTATACCCTCAGTGTGGGTGAGACTTGGATACCATTTTGTACGTGTTGCACACTGGCCTGCCCCACTTCAGAATATGGCATCTATTTTCTTGGGACTTGCGTCAGTCAATATTTAGTTGCAGACAACTAAATCCAATCTGCCTATTTTATGCAGGGAGGTATTTTTAAAAACTAGATAGTGAATGGTTTACCATGTCAGATCCTACTATGAGCCACTGGGAATGACTCTCAAAGCCACACCATGGTGGGAGGCTGTTAAAAAGGCCACTGCTCTTGTCACAGTCGGGACCCTGAGGAATCAGAAAACTTCCCAAACCAGGAAGCTGCCAGCACAGCTTCTGGTTCCAGAATCACCCCATCTCAACCACAATCCACACCAACGAAATGAATGCCTTTCCTCCAACCTTAAGTCTCACGCAAATGCATTTGATTGGTGGGGCCTAAATTATATCTGGAGCCCTAGCTGCTGGAAAGTCTGAGAAAGGATTGTGCAGACCTTTCACTATATGGAAAGGCCCACGAGAAGGAGGTAGGAATGGTCCACAGCATTTGCCCAAACAATCTCAGTCAAAACTAAGATGGAAATAGTGCAAGTTTGAAAGGTCTTTGTTTTGTTTTTTATTGTCCATGAAAAACAAATACAAATACACATTATTTGTTGGTTACAGCAAATATACCCTTTTGTCCCTTATGAAGTTATGTTATAATAACAAGTGCCTATTTACCAAAAACAATATATTGGGCATTATAATGTGCTCTATATCATCCCAAAGACATAAAATGATACAAACACAGAGAATTCCTATTTTTTCCTGTTTCAAAATCTAGGGTACTTTTCTAGAAAACCTCTGTATTTAAGAAAATGACTCCTCTTTCCCATCACTTTACTTCAATCCTGAGATACCAACATGATCATTCAGTGACATTTGGAAAATTCAGGTTCCATGGCAGTCATGTAAGTGAAAATTGCTCCATTTTAGCATTCTATAAACAAACTTTTCAAAATCTCACAAAATCAGGACTGATTACAGTTGGAACCAAAGGCAGATCTTTTTGGAGAGGAGCTGATCTTCAAGAACCAGATTCCTCTTTGGGGCTTGAAGGGAAACTTTGCCTGATTGTGTAGAGAATGGTACCATTGCAGGACTGGGCCCCTCTACAGACTAAATCTGAGTCTACTGTCCTTACCCATTTCCCATACCCAGGCTTCCCGGCCCAGTCCTTCCTCCTACTTGAACAACCCCACTCCTACTAACTGAGATTTGGGGTAAGTCTATTCTTGTTCCAGGCTGGACCTACTTCCTCTCATTTATGTTAAGAAGGAACAGCTACCTACATGATAGAAGAGAAGGCCAATTGCAAGCAGAATGTGAACATGCTTTGTTTTCACCTTTTTAAAAGTTTATTTATTTATTTTAGTCGGGGGGGGGAAGAGAGAGAGAGGGAACATGTGCACGAGTTGGGGAGGGACAGAGGGAGAGGAAGAGAAGAGAGAATCCCAAGCAGGCTCTGTGCTATTAGCACTGAGTCTGATGGGGAGGTTTGAACTCATGAACCAAGAGATCATGACCAGAGCCAAAAATCAAAAGTCAGACGCTTAGCCAACTGAGCCACCCAGGTGCCCCCATACTTTATACATATTTCATTCTATATTATAATAGAATGTAATGTGCACTTTAGTGAAAAAATGCATTGTGTTTAGCACACTCTTCCTTGTGTTCTCTGATTCAGATTCTGTGGGAGCTATTTTATAGTTTTATAAGTTGTGGGTAAGTGACAGACAGGCAGATTCTGTCATTTTCTTCCGTCCCCTGCTGTGGGGGGAAAATAAACACCAAATTGGTTTGTTTCCCCATATAATTCAATATAATTCAACATCACTTTTCTCCATATAAATGTATGCTTCTTGACTTCCTTTTCTAACTGGTTCTAACATCTGCCTGGTTCAGTCACTGAATATGAGTTTAAAAGAATCTTTAATGCACGTTTATTGTTATTTCTG